TACAAGATAAACCTGATGCAATTTTATGACATTAACTTTCATATTGCATTCAGGCAACCTGGTAATTCTACTTTACTTGTACACAAAAGTGCAAAAAAGTGGTTAAAAATATCATGAAAGTTGATCTCTCCAGTGAGAAAATTCCACAATTTCAATGGTAGGCTATAAAAGGATTTAGTTACCCTCACCATTAACAGACGTTCATTCTATTGTCCTTTGTCCCTTTTATTTCTAGCTGTATGATGCTCACATCCTGTCTCACAAGCTATGGCAAATTGAATTACAAGAACAGGTTATATAATTATGAAAAAAAAAAAAAAAGATGAGAAAATACTGTATGGCTGAAATTAAGTTATATAAACATTGACTTTTGAAATTTCGTGACTTGTACAGATAGGTAAGTGCTGCCAAAGAAGTTCAGAAAGCATAGAATCACAAAATCATGGAATTAGAGAATCATATAATAGTTTGGGTTGGAAGGGACCTTAAAGATCACCCAGTTCTAACCCTCTGCCCTGAGCAGGAACATCTACTAGACAAGGTTGCTCAAAGCCCCATCCAACATGGCCTTGAACACTTCCAGGGATAGGACATATACATCTTCTCCGGGCAACCTGTTCCAGTGTCTCACCACCCTCTGAGGGAAGAATTTCCTCCTATCATCTGATATAAACCTCCCCTCTTTTAGTTAAAAGCCATTCCCCCTTGTCCTATCACTTACACTCCCTGCCAAAGAGTCCCTCCCCAGCTTTCCTATAGGCCCCCTTTAGGTATTGGAAAGCCACTATATGGTCTCCCTGGAGCCTTCTCTTCTCCAGGCTGAACAACCCCAACTCCCTCAGCCTGTCTTCACATGAGAAGTGCTCCAGACCCTTGATCATCTTCATGGCCCTCCTCTTGACTCGTTTGTATTGGTCCTTGTCCTTCTTGTGCTGAGGCCCCCAGAGCTGAATGCAGCACTCCAGGTGGGGTCTCAGGAGAGCAGAGCAGAGGGGAAGAATCACCTCCCTGGCCCTGCTGGCCACGCTGCTTTTGATGCAGCCCAGCATACAGTTGGCTTTCTGGGCTGCAAGTGCACACAGCTCATGTTGAATTTCTCATCAACCAACACCTCCAGGTCCTTCTCTTCAGTGCTGCTCTCTATCCATTTTCTGCCTGTATCTGTGCTTTGGATTGCCCTGGCCCAGATGCAGGACCTTGCACTTGGCCAAGCTGAACCTCATGAGGTTTGCACAGGCCCACCTCTCAGGCCTGTCCAGGTCCCTCTGGATGGCATCCCTTCCCTCCAGTGTGTTGACTGCACCACACAACTTGGTGTCATCAGCAAACCTGCTGATGGTACACTCAATCCCACTGTCCAAGTCACCAACAAAGATGTTAAATAGTGCCAGTCCCAGTATTGACCCCTGAAGAACACCACTCATTCAAAAGAACCTGGACAGAGATGTAGTTTACTGCATTTTGAAATGCAATATTGTTACTCAGTACGTATTTAACTTCTAGAAACTTTAATTTGAAAAGTACTTAAGAGAGTTTTCCATCTAACTGTCCATAAATATCTTGAAATGTAAGAAAAAAAAAAAAAGAATATATGTGCCTGTGTGAAAATATCTATTTACAAATAAGAAACTTCCTTTCCACAAACCGATCCCAGGTGCATTCAAGTAATTGTACAGTCCTGAATACTGTCCAGAATGAGAATGTATTTACATAAACTTGGGCTAGAAAATTAATTTTGCATTACAGTACTTCATGTCAATTTCTGAATCCTTATAAATGTTTGGAAACTCCAGGGCCGAACACAGAAAGTGTAGTTTGTTCATATGAAGGAAGTTTTCCATGTTTGACTATTTTAAGAAGATTTAAGTTGATTCTGCCTAGCTTTAAAAAAACAAAACAAACATAAAAAACATCATCATCATCATCAACAAAAAACTTGTCTGCCCACAAATCTGCTACAAGAAATGTTCAAACCAGTAGACTGGTTTGAACATTTTGAAGTAGACTTCCCTAGTTCCAAAGTATATTCAAATAAGACATTTTATTGGCATTGTATTCTATTTCCCTGGTGATAATTAGATCCAATAAAGTACAATTTTAGCTCCTCATTATTATAAATATATTCTATTTGTATAAAAGCAGAACTTGATTACATACAAAACGAAGTGTGTGTTTAACTCAATGGAGACCTATTCTGGCAGACTCCAGAATAACTTAATGGAGTTCTACTCTGGTGGACTCCAGAAGAATCTGTATTGCAGACACCAGGAGTTTTAACTGCAGATCCACTAAAAAGCACCACAAGCTGAGATTCACATTGTCTGTGTCTTCTCTTACAACTCAGGTTGCAGTTTTATTATTTTTGTCTTCTTTTGTTCTGTGTGTAGATTTTGTTAAGGAAGAAGAACATCAGATTTTTCTTTCTGACACTTTCCCTCACCGTATGGTGCTAGCATACATTATCTGTTCATTCCGACACTCAGCAAAAAGTTCTGAAAGTCAGAGTGACAGCATTTTATGGTTCCCTGTAATGCCAATTATACCAAGCCATTTCCCATCAATGAATTGTATTTCAAAATTCAAAAAGCACTGTAGTTAACACAATTGCTTGCATTTGCCTGCTGTCTTTTTCCATCCACGCAACTCTTGGCAGCATGCTGAGTTTTATCCTACAATGGGAGAAAGGCGCATGCTCCTTATAAGGAATCCCTAAGCTGCTACTGAATTGTGACTCAACTTACATGGCAAGAAATGAGTTTACTCTGTCACCAGATCAGAACCACACCAACATGTGCTGAGCAACACGACTGCCAGGCTTCAAAGTCTTGGGACACTTAATGAGCCACTGAGAGGTGTGGGCATTGCTCTTCATAAGAGAGTCAGCTTTGTTAAAGAATTAATAAAAAAATATTGAGTCTTTATTTGCATAAAACCTGTCAAAAACTATTAAAATCAACTAGTGGGCTTCTTCATTTTAGGGTCAGTTCTCTTCCATGTTTTCATAAATGACTTGGAAAGAGGACTTGAGGATGATTCGAGTAAGTTTGTGGATGACACTAGATCAGGAGGAGCTGTTGACTCTGTCATGGGTAGAGAGGCCTTGCAGAGAGATCTTGGCAAATCAGAGGGCTGGACAGTTACCAGCAGTATGAAGTTCAACAAGAGCAAGTGCTGGATTCTGCACCTGGGACGGGGTAACCCCAGCAGTCACAGACTGGTGAAAAAGAGGCCAGAGAGCAGCCCCACAGAAAGGGACCTGGGGGTTCTGGTCACTGGCAACTTGAATGTGAGTCAGCAGCGTGCCCTGGCAGCCAGGAGGGCCAACCACGTCTGAAATGGGACAAAATCAGGCTTACACTGAGAGTCCCAAAAACAAGAGATGGCTTTTCTCTTAGTCTTTATTTTCAAAGTGGATGAATTAAGAGTTGTGTTTTCTTATTTATTTATTTATTTATTTTCAGGAGCTGACTTACATGCAAACCTGTATTTACATGTGCTTCTTCCTCTTTTTTATTTTATTTTTCCTTCAGTAATGGGGTATTCGCTCATATTGCTCAAAAAAATAGCTTTCTGAGAATGACTATCAATATTGAAAAAACTTCTTTGTTCTTTTTAACTGATATTTAAAGAAAGAGCACGTTTCTAAACAGAACGTGTTTCTCTCAAATGCTGGGCCTACCAAAATAGGGGAAGGAAAACCATTACAAACGTATGTACTTATCTTTAAACTTTAAGCACTTCACATCCTGAAAGATTCCAAAAGTAGAAGAAAAAGTGAAACACAGACTTCACAGAAATTACTTAAGCAATTAACTTCTCTAGTCTTGTTCTAACTCATGAAAGTTTTGCAAATAATTCCCCCAAACCTCATGAATAAAGAACAGACTTTGAATTTAATTTTGGCTGAAAATGACAAAGCTAACCACAACTAGCAGAATGTTTGCAATAATTACAATGAAACGGCTTCTATCGTTTCTAGCTGTTTGAACATGAAAATAAAACAAAATCTATTTCCTTGTCTGCATTTGAACTTTAGAATTAGAATTTGGAACACAGAAGTATCAAGGAAGTAACACCAAATCTTTTGCAAAAGTGGCAAGAATTGTAACTTGGTTTAACCAACAGACTAACTCTGAAGGGAAATTGTTAAAACAGTTGTAAAGTAATGGTTCATATATAATTAGTGTTATTTTTGTCCATTATTTGGGGATGTTTTGTAAGTTTCTGTCTGTGTTTTACATACCTGTTTAATTTAGAACGTTGTAGTTATGCCTGTTAGTACAGCTTGCACGTATTTTGGTTTAGCATGGAAATGTAGAATGACAGGTGTAAACAGGATGAAGCTGTATCACAGTTCACTCTTAAAAAGTTGCCACCTGTTACAGGCTGACACCATTGTACTTAAGTGTGTTAATATGCAAATGTGTGGTAAGTGTATATGGTCATTTAGCAAAGACAAAAGGAAAGGGGAATGCTTTAATGGGAGTCAGATGCAAATCCAAAGTGCTGTTTTTGGTGCAGGTGCCTTTGACAGGACTTGCTAAAATGAACATAGTAGCAGGAACACAGTTGAAAATAACAAACAACCCTGAGCAGCCTAGTGAAAAGAAAAGAAAACAAACAAACAAAAAACAACAAAGCAACAAGACATTTCATAGCAGAATGTTCTAAATTGCAATTAAATATAATGGAACACACACTAACAAATGTGTCCAGTATTGCTAGGTAAACTAGTGATGGGAGTCATAATGTAGACAGGACTTCTGTAATCCCTATCAGCTAACAGTGTTCTCTTATCAGTCAAGAGTTTGTAAGATTCTGAAGGTCCAACCAAACCTGACACTGTTAAAATGTGGAAGCTTTACAAACCATAATATAAGGAAGTCCCATCCACTTTTTAAAAATTCTTTGAATTTGCAGTGTTTCGTCCACAGAGATCTCGATGAGCAGAGTCTTGGATATGCACTGACGCACAACCAACATACGACACTACTCTCCTGATCTTTTAAGTGGTCTGGATACCAGTGGTGATTATACTCTGGTGGCACCAGAACTATTTTATTTTGCAATTTGCCAGAAGTTTTCAGTGTCATGGGAGTAGGTGCTTGTGTGAGCTTTCAACATGACAGTCTGGAAAGACAGAAAGGCATTAAAAATGAAAAGCAAATTATTAAAGGATGTAGTACCAAAGAGACTTCCAGTGAGATAGGGGACTAGATAGATGTACTATAAGAAATAATAGATTTTATTTCAAAGTCACTGAGTGTCCTTTAAACTGCATATTTAAGGGAACGAAATATGCAAAGCAATGTACACACTGAGTTAACTTCTAGTTCTGAATTGCCTTAAATTTCCATAAGATGATGTCATATGACACAGGCAACTCTTTTTCTTCTGCTTAAAGAGTTCAAAAAAAACCCAAACATGCCACTGTGGAGATGGCAGTGATAAGCTTGCCTTAAAGAACATTTTTTCTTTAGCAGTACCACATGCTGTTAGCAGACAGGTACCAGTCTGCTCTGGAATTGGTCAGAGTTTTGTGTGCATCTGCTGGTGGTTTTCAGTCATCATCTATGTCAGATCAAATTGTCTTGTCAGTTCTTCCCGGTCCTTCTCTCGGTTGTCTCCTGGGAAAAGACTTCATGGTGCTTTCTTGTAGATCAAGTCCATTGATACCATCATTTTTCCTTATCTCACCATCTCTTCAGGTCAGCAGTGAAGCTCCTTCTCTTCCTGCTTGCTCCAACAGCCAGCCTGGCTCACCCCTCTCAGCGCTTTGAATGCGGCAGGTTCACTTGGCGCACACAACAGCCAGCACACAAGTCACAGTACGTTATCAAAGTTAAGGGTTGTGCAATGAACCCAGACCTGGGACAGAAATAGCAGATAAAAAAAAAAAAAAAAAAGAGAGAAAAAAGAGGTGCAGTGTTCCCGGCTAACACACACACACACAGACACACACACGGCTGCCAAGGGAGCTGCTGTTTACTCCGCCTGGCCGAGGCGCGGTCCGGCGGGCTCTGCGGCTCGCCACCTCGCCTTCTTTCCCTTTTCACCTCACAGCGGCTCCCTTTTGGGGACGGAGCGCGGAAACCTGACAGCACCGGGCGCCTGCCACCCCTCGCAGGGGAGGCACAGGAGGAGAGGAGAGGAGAGAGAAGAGGAGCGGGGGGCACCCCGCCCCTCAGCCTCCCCCCCCCCCGCCCCTCAGGCGGAGGCTGCCTGACAACGGCCGCGGGGCGAGTAACGGCCGGCGGCGGCCCCGCCCCGCCGCCCAGCAGCTGCGTGATGACGCAGGCGGCGGGAGCCCCGCGGCCCGGCCCCTGCCCGCTGCTGGGAGGGGGGTGAGGGACGGGAAGGGACGGGAAGGGAAGGGAGGGGGGGAGGAGAGGTGGGGCGGGGCGGGGCGGCCGCGCGGAGGCAGCGGGCAGAGCGCGGCTGGGCTCGGCTGGGCTCGGCTCGGCACCGCGCCGCCGCCTCCTCCTCCTCCTCCTCCTTCTCCTCCTCCCCCGGCGCCGTGCATGGAGAGCGAGCAGCGGGCGCTGAGGGGCCAAGCCGCCTGCCTGCGCCGCGCCGCCCCGCCCCGCCGAGCCCCCGCCGGGTGAGTGCGGCCGGCGGCGGGTGCCCGCTGGCCGCGGCGGAGGGGGCGGGTGGCCGGGCGGGCAGGCGGCGGGTGGCCGGGCGGGTAGGCCGTACCTGCGGCGGGGGCACGGCGGGGGGCACGGCCTCGCCTGCGGGGCGGCGGCGGAGGGACGGGGGGAGGGAGGCAGCCGGCCCCGTCCCGGTGCCGGTCCCGGTCCCGGTCCGGCAGCCGCACCGTGTGGCAGCGCTGCCCCGGGGTGTGCGCGGCGCTGCGCGGAAATGCTGCTGGCGTGTCGGTGAACTTGGGTAACTTGCATCGGGCGAGCGGGGATCGTTAACGGACTGCAGGTTAAAACTTCCCCTTCCTTTTTCTTCCCTTTTTTTTTTTTTTAATTTTCTTTATTTTTTTTTAAGGGGGGTGGGGGATGATGTCTGGTGTCAGCCTAATGGGCTCCGTCTTCCAATTTCCTTTCCCCACCTCTCCTGTGAGAGGGGAGAGAATAACACCTTGCTTTGGGCTCCCATAAAACCCCCGCGTTCGGAGGGACGCGGGCTGTGCTTCCTGGTTGTTTGACAGAGGAAAGCATAACTGGGAAGGCCACTTCAAGTCTCAAGTGCGATTGTGCAGGTAAGGCTAGCTGGTTGCTCGCCAGCGTTTCTGGCATCTTAGCCCCGTACAGCTCCCCAGTTTAACGTCTAGCTCTCCCTTGTTTCTGACGTTAGTCAACGTTAATGCAGTTCAGGTGAGAGAAATATTTCTGAATTGTGTGTTTTATATAAAATCAATATTGACAAGAGATTGTAGAGAGGTTATGCTCACTGTGGAACGGTAGCTTGGACTGATTGTGTGGGTTCATTTTATTTCCTTGTCCTGTTCGCTCTTACCCGTAATTGATACGGGGTTAACGTGGTAGTGATGTTCTTCAAAGGTGCCTGGTTTTGTTCCCTGACTAGAGTCAGTGACATGGTAGTTTGAAGACTCAGTGATGGCCACCTTCTTCCTACTGTCTTCTGCTTTGAAGACAGTGAGTCCCCAGTGACTTCAGAGGTGTAAATAAATAATTTGATACTCAGTAACTGTAGTATTATGGTATGAAGTGGTAGTGGTTGTAAGCGTGCTTTCCAGAGAAGCTTTAAATCTGAACCATTTACAGGAGCTCTTTCGTTTTCATAAATGTCGATGACAACAACACAGGGAAGTAGTGTTTGCTTCTGGAGGGGAAATTTTAATGAGCAACAAGTTTACAGAAGGTGGAAAATGGCTCAACACGCTTGTTGACTGGAATCAGATTGACTAGAACTGCAGAATGGAAAATGAAAGGAGACTGCTGCTTCTCACGTGTAACTGTTAGGAGTGGCGATTGGCCTAATAGAATAACCACTTCCAAACTGTGCGGAGCTGGTGTTGTGCGTGACCAGGAGTATGACTAAAAGTGAATGTCGCTGCCATCTTGTACTAGCAGTGGCCTCCTCTTTCTGAAATTGTAGGAGCAGCAGTTACTGAACAGGGCTGTAACTTTTGACATTGGTCTCTTTATCTCAGTTCTGGGGCATTTTTCCTGTATGACTTAAAGTAAACAAAAAGCTTGGAGAAAATGTTTGCAGTAACAGGAAATGTTCGAGTATCTTGGCTGAAAGAACCTCAAGAGGGGAAATAAACACGATTCACATATATGCTAACATTAAACAAATGCGTGAGTTACATCGTGTAACGTGTACCTAAAAGGGAACTACTATCAGAGGTTATGAAACTTACATTAAAAAGCAGGGTAAAATAACTACTCATGCATCAACTAAAATGTATTTGTAGCAATGAGATTTTCAAAAAAGAACAACTGATACTGAATAAGGCAATCAAAACCTAATGGCTTTTTAAAATAAAAATAACTGCAGCTTTGAGTGGGAGGTTGAACTAGATGAGACCTCGTGAGGTACCTTTCAACCTGAATTATCCTGTGCTAGTGGTAGTGTGCTATTACAAGTTAGCATTTCTGTTATAAGCATCCTTCTGTCACCCCATTCTTTTCACCAAGGCTTGCATGCAAACATTAGCACTGTTATTAGGCAATACACAGTTATACTTTTTCCATTTAACTTAATGGAGCTGCTATTTCAAAGCATCTGACCCTGGCTATGCACTGATTTCAGTGGGTTCTGTATGAATTCATGCGTCCACCCACAGGGTTCTCAGCATGAGCCCAGTGAGATGACTAATATGAGTAAGACTAGCAAGATCTGAGTCAACATTTGAGCTCAGGCTTGTATTTGTATTTCTCTAACTTGTTTCAGATGTGACTTCTGTATCAGAAGATAAATAATCAGCTTTCTTGAATTTCTGGATGTGAGATTTTGCAAACTATTCCATATGGTAGAGCTTTTTGGAGACTTGAAAAGCAAAGCGAAAACATACGTGAGCTACAAAGTTTCCTCATAGTAGTTCCCCTGGAAGAACTGTAGTCAGTTATTTGGTACGTGCACAGACGTGCTTTTTGGCTGTATTGCTAAGTTGATCTACACAGTTCATGATGTCTGTCACTTGGGTGACCATCGGAATACAGTGACAGCTACAGGACTCGAATGTAAGGTGTCTTGGTGCTGTCATTTGTAATTTGTCCGATGCTGGAAGAAAAAAAGCTGATTCCTCACTCCATAACCAACTCTCTCGTTATACAGTACTGAACACAGAGAGATCTGATTGAAATCGAAAAAAATAGAATCCTCTTGTGTTATCATGGATATTGAGTACAGCTGATTTGATCTTTAGAAGTAATTTCTAACTTCTGTCTTGTTGACCTGTACTGGAAAGCAATTTTCTTTGGTGGAAAGTGTAGGTAGTTTTTGAGTACGCAAGTAGAATGACCTGCCAGGAAGGTATTTGTCTCTATAATTTTGGTTATGCAGTCATTCTATCAAACGTTCAAATGTAACTATTTAAATTGGACTTGTAGGGAAAAAAAAATCCTGAAGGGTGCAGCCTAACTATAGGTATTTTCTTTTAAACCAGTAAAGATGTTGCCCTTTTATGAAGTGAGTTGTCTCTGCATCTTTGTCTTTATGACAGTGACTTCCACAGTATTATTACACAGTTTCTTTTGTTCTTAATAGATCACTTTTTAATCACAGTTGAACGTGCTCTTGTGTTAGGAAGACAGGCATTAGTATTCAGTGTCTTGATTTTTTCCATACCTCTGTCCCTTCTTCTGTACTTCCTTCTGTATTTTTCCTAGAATCATTAGCATTTGTCCATAGATTAAATAAATCTGTGTCACTTTTCTATGAATTGAGTCTGTTTTTCTGTTTTCTGTAATGTCACAAAAGACAAGATGCCAGATGAAACTAGAATGTATTTGATCCCATTCTTCGTTCATTGGAACACTTTGTTTCTTGCCTTGCATGTGCCTGTATTTAGCAGAAAGTGTTGAACTGCACATCCTGCTGCATGGTTATTTTAACCGCTTACTTAAAATTCAATGCCATTTGGAAAAACTGCACATTATTCTTTTAGGAGTTTAATAGTTTGCATTTGTTTACATAAAATGTTAATCTGTCTTCTGTTCTTCATTTGGCTAGCTCTCAATTTTGTTAAGACTAGACCAGGATCAAGATATTCTAAGTTGACCAGTTATTACCGCTGCTGTTCAGTACTTATGTGAAAGGTGAAAAGTATAATCAGTGCTAGGCTTGGGAAATAAAACTGGAGGTTTTTACAGCCTTAAGAAACTAGAAATTGGTTACTTAGGCAGGAACTCTGAAAGCGTTTATATGCTTGCGTGCCTGTGTGTAGGATGGCACTTCTTGCTTTGTGTGCATACCCGCATAGAACTTGTTCTGGTATTTATTGTGGTTCGTAAGCTATGTGTTCTTCTTGATGTGAAATTTGTATTGACAGTCTGGTTGAGCTAGCTTAGCTGAATCTTTATCAGTTTGCTCATGTGCTCAAAGGGTTGCAATAGATTTCAGGGTTTACGAATGTATTTTACAAGTGTCTTAATGATTATATATGTTCAAAGTGATGCAATTAAAGTTACTTGCATATATAAAATACAAATCAGAAAATGGTTCTTTGACTTTATTGGTCCTAAAGGTTTATTTTTACAGTATTTAGTAAGAATAATTAGGAAATCAGTTTAAGTCAATTAGTGGGACTTTATTTTTGCAGTCAGCCTGTCTTTGAAAAACAGTATGAAAAAAATACGTTTCTTGTTTTTTAATATTTTATAAGAATCGTGTTAACATTTCTTAGTTCTAACATTGACATTCTGCACGTATGAAATAAATTGATCTTTAATGAAACCTAATATGCTTTAAATGAATATCTTCAGTCTTTGTTCTCCATTAATCTTTGTCAACGGCTAAGAGCTTCTTAGTTACGAGCAAAATGTTTGTAATTCTTTAGCGTGTTGTGCTGCTCCTTGTGTTTCCAGAACTGTAAGGTATTTTTAAAACAAGAAAAAATCTTTTTACTTTTAAATACCTAATCTTGATACATAAAAATATACAGTAATTTTTTTACCTTTAGTTTTCAAGCAGTCGTTGGAGGCCTCAGTAGTTCAAGTGCATTTAGATTGGGAGCCCTGTTGACTTCAATATGAAATTATGGGATTGCTTTCATGGACTCAGTTATAGAAACAGGGTTGCAGGTGGTGTCTGAGTTTCTCCGAGTATATCGGTAAAACTTGACTACAAGCCTAACACAAGAACATTTAAAGACTAAGGCTATTGGGGAAAAAAACAAAACAAAACAACACTATTCCTGATGAAAGAGTTTTTGTTTTTTTCAGTCTGTTTTTTAAAGATGCTTTGGAAAGCTCTAATGATAGTCAAATAACATAGGAAGCTTTGTTGAGGTTATAAAGACAAAAGGCTCTTAACAATACAGCCTTCAAGTGAGGGCTCGTGTTGGAGAATGATGTTCAGAAAACATAAAATTAAGTCTGCTACGTGTGGTATAGTTGGTGTACTGTTTATGACATTAGAGAGTATACGCCAGCAAAGATCCTTTCTTTTGCAGCATTTCTC